GAATCTTTAAGGCCTATAACTATACGAAAAGCGGCCTTAATACGAAAATCCCACCGATTTAAACGCCTACGAAGCAGAAGGCCTACGCCTTCGAAGATAAATACAACGCCCTACTTCAGACCCTTTTTCCTATACCCTCCGCCACCGACGCCCCCGAAGCCCCTATATTTACAGGCCCTTTAGGGGACCCAGGCCCCTTTTACCCTTCTACCGGCCCCTAGAGCCTAACTAGATCACGTAGTAAGGGCCTTAGAAGACCGTGGGAGTAGCCTGGCCTTTAGGCTACCGAACTATAACGCGCTATATTCGGTGCTACTAAGGGGAAAGCTCTAGGGCCTAATAGTATTAGTCTAAAGCCGATCCAGCAGACCTATAAGGTTATCCCCAGGCTCTTTTTAAAAGCCTATACAGCACTATTTATAGCAGGCCACCACCCTACCTGCAGGAAAGAAGCCTTAGGGGTCGTTTTACCGAAGCCGGGGAAGAAGGACTATTCTAGTCCTAAGTCTTATAGAATTATAGCCCTTCTAAACTACCTAGGTAAAGTCCTCGAAAGGGTTATAGCTACTAGGCTTAGCTTTATAGCTAATACCCGCGACGACCTTCTACACCCTAGTTAAATAGGGGGTAGAAAATAACGCTCTGCTATCGATATAGCCCTCCCCCTCCTCCACTATATCGAAACATAGCGTAAATCACGCTAAAATCCTGTGCTTTCTATGCTGTTTTTAGATTTTAAAGGAGCCTTCGATTACGTCGCCCGTCCCTAGCTACTTAGGTCCTTTTAGGAACTCTAATTACCCTCGAACCTAGTTAAATAGGTAGCCTTTTTTACAGAAAGTAGGCGAATCTAACTAGCTTTCGAGGGGCAGGTCTAGTAGCCTACCCCCCTCAATATAGGGGTTCTATAAGGCTCTCCGGTTTCTCCTATCCTTTTCCTGATTTATATTAGGAAGGTTATAACGGGACCGGATTTTTAGGGTCTTTAGTTATGCTATATCGATGATTTTCAGCTATCCATAGCGTCTATATCGACTAGAAAAAACTGTAAAACCCTAGAAAAAGCCGCAGCCTCCCTTTTCGACGCAGTAAAAGTTAACTAAGTCCTTTTCCACCCTAAAAAAACAGAGCTTATTTACTTCCACCGAAGACGCTTTATAGAAGACACTCCGGTCACTATAGGGGGGCACTTAGTTAAACCAGCGCTAGGTGCTATTAGGTGGCTTAGGGTCTGGTTTAATCCGAAGCTATCCTTTAAACCCTACGTCGAAAAACGCCTAAACTTAGCTTTAGGAGCCCTAAACAGGCTATACAGGCTAGCTAGCTTATGGAGGGGCCTTTCTTTTAAGGCTTTACGGCAGCTATATATAGCCTATATAGCCTCCTTAGCTAATTTCGGCTCGTAGCTCTAGTAGGACCTACAATCACAGAAAAAACACCTAGTGGACCGCTTAAAACGCTTATAGTATAGCGCTTTAGTTAGGATACTAGGAGCTTTTAGGGGGGCCCCCTTACGGCCTTTAGAACTCGAAGCAGTAGTCCCCCCGGTAGCGGTTCGGTTAACTAGACCTAATAGGCTCTATACCTTTCGGGCCTTAAAGTTCATACTAAACCACCCTATTAAACGCCAGCTTTATACTAGCGTTCAAAGGCAGCCAGGGGACGAAAATCAGAATCTCGCCCTTCTCTAGAACCTATAGCCTAGCATATAGCTATATAGGCTAGGCCTAGAAATAGTGGCTTTAGTAGGTTAGTCTTAGAATATCGAGGGTTCTTCGGCTAGGTGGGAGGCCCCCTAGGCCTCGGAACCTATAGCGGACCTAAGACCCTTTTTCCCCCTTAAGGACCGGTCTAAAACAGATACCGACCCTAGCCCTAATACCCCTGATCAGAAAACAGCCCACCTTAAAGCCCTAGCCGAAATTCAGTAAGGTCTAGGGGAATAGGCTGCTATTTTCTATACCGACGGGTCTCTAGGCCACCTACTAGGCCTCTAAAGGACCTTCACGGGCTATAACCGCTATGATATAGTGGACTAATACTGGAAGGCCCTGTAAAGCTATAGGCTTTAACCTAGGGGCCGTTACCGAAGTCGTAGACGCTGAATTATACGCTATTCTTTAGGCCCTTTACGCTGCCCTAAAGCAGACGCCTAGGCCCCTGGAGTGCTATATTTTTAGTGATTCTTAGGCGGCTATTCAGAAGCTTTAGCGCACCTTATAGTAGACTATAGAAGCTAAAAGCCTTATTTTACGCCTTAAATAACTAGGCACTTCGGTATCTATCTAGTAGTGCCCCTCGTATATAGGGATAGAAGGGAACGAGCTAGCAGATAAAGTGGCTAAAGGGGCATTAAACCCCGAAAAAGCTATAAAATCCATTTGCTTAGTTACCCTTAGCCACCTAAAACGCCGGGTAAATAAAGCCCTTATTTAAGACTGGAAGACCCTATAGAATCACGAAGAGAAGGAAGAGAAAAGAGGTCGATCGGTTCGATTAGGCCGCCTATATAGACGACTAGTCCGCGATAACCTCCGCTTCTCCTGAAAACCACTACTAATATAAGGCCCTAGGTGGGTAAAATCGGCTTTTACGCAGTTAAAAACCGGCTTCGGATACCTAAAAACCCACTAAAAAAGTGTCTAAAACTGCGCTAACGACCGCTATTCCTGTCCCGGCTCCCCTATATAGGATACAGCACACCTTATTCTTTTATGCCCTTTTTATAAAGAAGAACGAAGAGCCCTGCGGGAAGCCCTAGCAGGCCTACCGCTATCTCTGCCGCTATTATTTAGTACTAAAAAAGGAATACAGGCCTTATAGGCCTACCTTTTAGCTATTAAAATAGCCTCGGCAGAGTAGTATAGGGCGTAAACCACGATTCCTGCGGTCTAGTTATATTGCTTTGGTTTTTTACCTATTAGGTCTTATTAGGCAGATTATTACGGAGGATTTCCTTTATGTAGTACGCTCTATTTTACTGTACCTAGCTTCTTATAGCCTCTAGCCCTTAGGGCGATAGGCGTCGCGCTATAGCTTTAGGGCTGCATGCGCGTAATGAATTAAAAAAAAAAAAAAGGTGCTGCTATCAAATCTTATTCAGGTTACAACGTACAGGTACATGTAGGGTACACGCATGGACCATGACAATGTGACCAGTCAGTTGCTGGGTTCGGCATGTTCCGCATCCTCGGGACCCTCCTGCGCTCCACATCTGGGCGTCGGAATGGTACCTGCCGCACCTTGGTACACGTGTACGTTGCAATCTACCTGACATATAATTACATCAATGTACATGAACGTTTCAATAATCTCCGAGACAAATGGACACATGGAAATGGGATGGGGTTTTGGACCTCAATGCGCTTTGCGCTCTGGAGCAGATCATCCATCGACGAGGGAGGTTTTGGGTGGTTTTGTTTGATTTCGCCTCAGCTTGTCCATGTTTTGAGTTGTGGCATCCATCAGTCATCCTTGCATTGAGCGCTATATCTCAGTTCACGATCCCTCTAATGCGCATAACACGCAAGTTATGTACGGAGTACATACGGGTTTCTCCATGTAATTCGCCTGATCCAGCAGTCATCATTTCCTGTAATGTATAAAAGGACGAAGTACGTGTACGTGTACAGGCACATATGGAACATATGGATACATTCCGTAAGTCTCCCACTGCGGAACATGCCGCTAATTGACTCCCAAGGAAATGCAGATCCCTCCTACTCCAGGTCATTGACCCACGTAGCGAACACTTCTACGCGTTCTTGCACCCCCAGACTGGCCCCCAGATACAACATAGACAATCGCGAAACACCCCCTAAACACCCCCCCCCCCCTTTTTCTCAAAACAGCGCGACAAGTACGTCGTAATTATCCATACTTCCAACCAAAATGAAAGAGACAGATGCGAGTGGATGACCCTCCAGCAAGTGGATGGCCTCCAGCTCGTGGGAAGTCCGGCAATCGCTTCATACAAGGCCAGGGGGTCAGTAGGTAATCGGAAAAGAGAAGAGCCAAGCCCTCCCACGCGAGATCTGTGAGATTGTGAGATTTGGAGGGAAGGAAGTCAGGCTCTGGCCTCTACTTCGTACCTTACCTACCTGGCCTAGGTACCTACCCGACCTTTCTTGCCTTCCTTCTCACCATAGCCAATACTTTGGTACCTACCTAGTTCGTGCCTATTCCCACATCCCGGTCCCTCCTTCCTACCTTACCTTATTCACAGCTCTTTCCTTCTCTTACTCCCTCTTCTTTTTTTCCCACATACGCGCTACCTAATTATCTCTCGCCATCTACATCTCTCTCTTGCTTTTTCTCACACTCCCTCACTCTCTTTTTTCCCCTCATTCCTTACACTCTCAGAGCAACCCTAAACACCACAAAAGAAAACTCTTGGGGCCCTATTTCTATGGTCCCTGGACCATCAATTTTTTTCGCCAGGGAACCGAAAACAAACAAACCACAAATCCTAGTCAACCGATCCCTTTTGACGTTCTTTTTTCCTATTTCTGTACCACGCATCACACATCACACATCACACACCACGCACCACGCACCACCCAACAAACAGTATAACGCGCGCCACTGCAATATCGCTTTGCCCACCTGGCCCCATTTCGCCCCCGGATCTTGACCGAGGATCGAGATCTGAAGTCGTGCAACGATCGCATCGTGCATGCTGCTTCTGCTTTGATATTGCTCTGGAGTAATAACAATGGCTGGTCCTTTCACATTCGTTGCCGCAGCCTTCTCCTCTTGGGGAGCTGCAGCCCTTACTCTTCTTAGCCTGGTGAGTGTCCTCTATCTACCATTCATTTTCATCACCATTGGCATCATTGGCATCATCAGCTTCATTCTCAGCTTCTCCAGCTTCGTCATCATCGTGTCCTTTGCCTTTTGGCCGTTATCTTATCTCAAACCCTCACCCTACCCATGCATGAGCATGAGCTTTCACCAAACATGGGGTTTGGACCCCTGCGGCCTGCCGCCAACCGTCTACGGCCTACCCGGCTCAGCTCTCATGCATCTCTGTTTGTTTTGTTTGCTGAGATGCGATCGATCTAACTGACCTGTGTGTGACGGTGACAGACGATCATTTACTTCCTTCTCTCGGCTGTGTACAACCTTTTCTTTCATCCTCTGAGCAAATACCCGGGCCCCTGGTGGTACGCTGTCAGCCGTTTGCCCTACACCATTGAAATCTTTCGGGGCACCGTCACCTGGACCACCAAGGAGATGCATATGAAGTACGGCCATGTAGTCCGCATCGCCCCCGATACCCTTTCCTTCACGACCAGCCAGGCCTGGCAAGGTGAGTAACCACTGTCTCAATTGCTTCATTTTTTTGTTTGATTTTATCTGTTCATATTTTTCTCCTTTTTTTCTCCTTTTTTTCATTTTCATTCTCATTCGTATGCCTTCACCAAAGTACGTGATCATTCAACTCACCATCTACCAACTCAGATATCTATGGCTTCCGGCAAGCCAGCACCGGTCGGGGTAACATCCCCAAGGACCCCATCACCTACCTCTCGGCTGGCGATGCCGTCGACACCATTGTACGTATTCCCTCCTATCATCTCAAATTTCAATGCAGACCAGACCCACTGACAAATTCTTACCCCTTCACAACAGGCGTCGGCCAAGGAGGATGATCACCATCGTCGTCTCCGTCGCATCCAATCCCATGCCTTCTCCGACAAGGCGCTGGTCCTGCAGGAGGCCTATCTCCACCAGTACACCTCTCTCTTCATCAAGAAGCTGCGCGAGGAGGTCGAGAAGGTCACCGGCACCGACAGCGGCGCCGCCGTTCTCAACTTCTCCAAGTGGGTCAATTTCCTCACCACCGATATTATCGGTGACTTGTCCTTCGGGGAGAGTTTCGGCGGCCTCGAGCAGGGCGAGATGCACCCTTGGCTCGACACGGTCTTCTGGACCCTCAAGGCCTTCACCTACCTCCGAGAGTTATACCGCTATCCGCTCCTCCCCATGGGTGCCATCCTTGCCTGCATCCCCAAGGAGATGGTCAAGCATCGCGCGGAAGCCCTCTCTTTCGGTGCCACGGCTGCGTCCCGCCGGATGGCCATGGAGACGGATCGCCCTGATTTCATGTCGTACATTCTGAAGAATTCCCAGGGTGAGAAGGGGTGAGTGTCTTTTTCTTCTCCTCCTTTTTCTCCTTTTATATATATATACCTGTGCACCTGGCTGACCCATGTTGCCACTGCAGAATGTCCCGCCTGGAAATTGAGGCTTCTGCCATCACCTTCATCATTGCAGGCAGCGAAACGAGTAAGTAAACCCGCCCTCTTTCCGGGCATGTGGTCTCTTCACTGACCTCGACGAAACCCCAGCCGCTACCATGATGGCCGGAACCATGTACATGCTCTGCAAGTCTCCCGCCACTCTTCGCAGACTCACCGAAACCATCCGTTCCGAGTTTGCTTCGCCCTCCGAGCTTACCCTCGTCAAGCTGCAGCACCAGGAATATCTCAACGCCGTCATCAACGAGGGACTGCGCCTCTACCCACCTGCGCCTGACGGCCTCTTCCGTCGCACCAAGGCCCAGGGCGCTACCGTCGCCGGCCACTTCATTCCGCCCAACACCAGCGTTGGCATCAACCTGCTCGCAGCCCATCGCCACCCTCTCAACTTCCACCGTCCGGACGAGATGGTGCCTGAGCGCTGGCTGAAGCCCTGCCCGCCCGAGTTTGAGAAGGACGACAGGAACGTTGTGAAGCCCTTTAGCGTTGGGCCGAGAGATTGTTTGGGAAAGAAGTACGTTTTTTTACTCTCTGGTATTTTTTTCTTCTTCCAGCTGACTCTAGTCACCTCACAGCTTGGCGTGGGCCGAGATGCGCATGATCTTGGCGTACCTGGTCTGGCACTTTGATTTCGAGATGGTGCCCGAGACCGAAGGATGGATTGAGCGGCAGACGGTCTTCATGCTCTGGAAGAAGTCGGACCTGCTTGTTAAGGTCTCTCTCAGGGAGTTTTAATGACTGCACGATGATGATTTTTGCTGTAGGATACGGTCATTTCTTGCTTTTTCTTGCTTCTTTTTGCGTTACTTTCCCCCGCTTTTCGCGGATGACATTTCTGTTTTTTTCTTTTTTCGGTTGCCCACTAGGAGAGGCATGCCGAACGAAGCAGCAGAAGACTGGCTAGCAAGCTTTTGCATTGGGGGCATTTGGCGACCTGCACGGCCAAAAGAAAGCACCGGCCACACATTGGGAATGGCTAGGTAGCTTTTGCATGAGGGGGAATTGGCACTTACGACCAAAACATAACCCTGGATGAACTTTGTACGTGTATAATACAAATAAAATAATAAAAGCCCTTAACATGATTCTCGTGGTGTGCCTCTCGACGCTTTGTGTTGTGGTGGTCCAGTTGGAAATAACCAGGAGTCGCTTCTTTCAGTGCTGGATACCTGTAATTGACTGGCGATGCAGTTCGCCTGGGCAGAATATGGGGGATATATCTCCAATTCGATGCCAAAGCCCATTGGGTCCTCCTGGGCCGGATCTGGGCTTACCCATTCGGGCCCATGAGCTCTAGGGGGTAATTGTTGGTAGCGCGCATTAAGCCCAAAGCCCAACGGGGCTGGGTTCTAATGGGCCCACGGTTCAAATGGGCATCTCATTTGAGGGTTTAAATGGGTTATAATAACAGCCCCTGTCTCGCATTCACTCCACACGATTATACGGAGGAAACGACCTTGGACGAAGTGCGAGCGATGGGCTTGGCATGTGTATTTTGGAGCAACCGCAAGAACTTATATTCATATTCTGCCAACACAATCCCTCCTCCAAAGATTGTAACACTCTCAACTTGGAACTCCATTAGATGACTCTCACTCCGTCTGGGCTTTGGAGACCGAAGCGACACCTCTCAACCAGAAAGGAAGCCCTGGACAATATGGTTGACTGCAGGGTCAACGTACTCATGTCGGATATAAGTCAGATGATAATAGGTGCAAGTTCCGTCGCGGTCGCAAGTCTATATGTAAATGAGCGCGTCAGCGGTGGAATCGGGAAGGACGGCAGGGTGAGACAATTCGAGTATATATATTATATAACAAAAAGATGCAACAGTAGGGAGGCAGCGCAACACTCACAGGATCCCCATCAGCGCAGACCTGCATCACCTTGTTGTTCAACCCGATAGGAAAACGACTACCAATAGAGCCGAGACGCAGAGCACCGTCCCCGAACATAACGAGGGACTTGATGCGACCGTACAGAGCCCTGGGAATGTCGTCGGCAGCAGCGTGCATCACGGCAGCGCCCTGGGAGTACCCGACGAGGGCGAAGGTCTGTTGGGGGCAGGCGGCAGCTTGCGAGGTCAGGCGGCTGACGACGTCGGCGGAGCCTTGGCGGACACCGGTGATGATTCGTGCGCTGGCGGGATACTGCGAATATTGTCCTTAGATATGGCTCGTAGTTGATGAGACGAGGATGGATGGTAGACGGAAAGGGACTTACCTGGACGGGATAGCCCCTGGCGCCTGCCAAGATGGCAGAAGTGTTGCTGACGACGGGGTCGCCGACGATGACGCCGAACTTGCCTCCATCCGCGTTGGGCTCACTCGTGCCACGGGCTTTGCGTGAGTTTAGTATCAATATACCCCATCAAGAGGCTAATCCGCCATTTTTAGACGGGTTGGGACAGGCTTGGCTTGTTCTCTCACCAACTAGGATTTCAAAGTCGGAACATCCTTGTGGGATGTGTTCGGGGATCATGGGAACCGGCTCGCCGATGGTGACGCCGGTGTCTGGCACCTCAGGGCAGTTGTCCTGGCGTCGAGCAATCCGAGCGGAGGTAAGGCCTAGAGCGGCGAGTGACAGGAAGAGGAAACGAGGCGGGAGCATTTTGACGGATGGCTGATTGCTATGAAAGATACGGGGAGTTTGTGGTGGCAGTAGTCGTTGGAGAAACCAGAGACCAACGATAGAGGCAAAATACGCCAGCCAGAATGCTTCGCTTTTGCTTCTTTTATAACCAGAAGGGTCAATGTATTCGATCCTTCGCAAGGTCTACAGTCTGCATGTCTCAGAGATTCCGGACTACGGTGGGAGGTGAACTTACCTCGGCAGTCAAATCAGTGCTTCTAGCAGTCGCCTATTTCAGGGCTCATCTGGCCGACCCCTCGCGATGCATACCGGAAGGGATGGTGAGGAGTAGACTATTAGACTGTAGGATCATCTGGGGGTTCCACGCTAAGAGACAGGTAGGGTAACAAGCCTCGGATCAAAACATTAGGAGGCATCGGATTCTTTGTTTGGATGTCTCTGGTCTCTCCCTCCCGCGTAGGCGTTTATTCTTGCAAGTTCCATCGATCCAAGTGCCGTGTCGATGACCCCGTAGGTGATGCAGGTCTTTGGGGATCCCGAGGTCCAACTCCGCATGCTGCCTATTTGGGCAGGGGATCGGCAAGGATATCATGCACCCCAGACTCGTAGAGCAACGCCATGTGCCGAGTCCCCTCAATTCGCAAGTGTAGCCCTAAGGGGGAAAAGCAGCGACAAGTGTCATAAGTCATCCGCTGAATTATGTATCCTTGGATTGCGGATGCAGCAACGCCACTGAGGCACGACCGTTGTTGGCCGGTTGGACTTGGACCCCAAAGTTGCTTTCGGCGGTTGGTGGCGGGTTGAGTTGGTCTCAGTGCTCACTCGAGGCTAGAGGCGGCTCGTGCAGGCAAGCTTGACAAAGAAAGATATAAAATGACGGCTTGGTCCATTTGGATAATTCCGAATTTGCGTTCTTTATTAGTGTTTTTCGGTTTCTACACCCACCACGTACGTCGTGATGCGGGAGCGACAATGCGGCCAGACAACCAGAATGATGAAAGGGAAGAGAAGAAAAAAAGGGTGATTAAGTAAGTGGTTGATGACTAAGGCGTTCACTGTCCGATTACCTAATTTTCATCGTCTTCCTCGTCGTCGCATCATGTTCCCGTGACCTGCCCGGACCATCTCCCGCTTTCTACGTGTATTCCGAGCATCATCTCGACAAATTCATTCCTTCGTCGCCAAAAAAGTCAATAACAATCGCGTGGTCGCAAAGGTCGAAGCGAATCGACCTTTCATAACATCTATCGTCTGTCAAATTCTTCTGTTTTCTCCTTTGTTTCTTGCCTGAGTTTTCGTCGTCCATTCAGGCCCGGACTTGCGCGTAATATCGACCTTTAGGTCTCACCATCCTCGACTGTACTCGACCCTTCTCGACCCTCCCCACCCTCCTCGACCATCGACACACGCCTCCATTCCCCCAGTCGCGTGTCCTGTTGCTTCCGAAGGCTGGGCAGACCTCCTCACAATCTCAAGTGAATCGCCCCCCACTGTCAACCGAACCAACGGCCCAGACACAACACAGACAGTCAGGACGCGACTTGGAAATCAGCTTCATGGCCAGATTAAGCAATTCGCCCACTCTCACGGCCAACCGGGCTTCGACTCCCGCCGCCCCGGCGACTAGGAAGAAACAGGTCACCATTAAGAACGGCGCTCTCCATTTCATCGACGCCCCGGACCCCGCCTCGCCGTCATCCTCCGGGCCCCCTGCTGCCGCCGCCGCCCCCGTCCCAGGCGTCACACAATCAGCCCGCGCCTCAAAGCGATTCAAATCCGACCACCTCGCTGCCACCCCTCCCCCACCTTTGAGGCGCCCCTTAATACCCGCGACCTCCCCGCGACGCGCCGCCTCCCACGATCCCATGTTCGGCGATATCCATTCCGCGCCCGTCGCGCCCATGGCTCCGATGGAGGTCATCGTTCCCGCCGCCGCCCCCGAGCCTCCGTCTACCAATCCGTCCACGACCGGCTCCATCCTCGGTCGCGTTTTCGGCGCGTTCAGCGGACACGGTAGAGATTCGCGTGCAAGCAGTCCCCGGAAGCGGCCGATGGACGAGGTTGCGGAGGAGAAGTACGATGAGGTCGAGGAGCCTGAAGCGCAGGATAGCATTACAGCTAAAGGTGACGCGTCTGCGACCATCGATGTCGCGACGGAAGAGGCCGAGGAAATCGTGGCTGAGACGGTGAAGGAGCAGGCCAAAGTCCCCGTTAGGGTGGCAGAGGCGACTACAGAGGATAATGAGACTGCAAAGCTTGAAGAGCCCCAAAACGAAAGTGAACAGGCGAAAGCCCAAGTGGAAGTGGAGGTGGAAGCCGAAGTCAAATCTGAGGGAGACATTGATGAAGGTATGGCTAGAATATATATATCTCTTTTTCCCCTCCCGTCACTGCACCATCTCCTAACCTGCCAATTCTCGAACAGAAATCCCCTCCGTCCAGCGACCGGCCAGCGAACCCAGCCCTTCTCCACCCCGCCGCCACGAACCCCAAGCCGCGGTCGTCGAACAAGAGACCGAAACACCCACGCCGGTACAGGAGGAGAAGTGTGAAGAGGAAGCCACAGTCGCGCCCAAGGAGGCCGAACCGACATTGAAAGCGAAATTGAAGACCAGGTCGAAGAAGGGGACCAGATCGAGGAAGGGGAAGGCGAAGGCGAAGGCAAAGGCAAAGGAAGCAAAGGAAGAACAGGAACCCAAAGTGAACGGGGAGACGGAAGATCAACACCAAGCTGAAGAAAAGCGCAGCACCCCGCAACTCGAAAACAAGGCGAAGGAGACGGAAAAGGAAAAGGAAAACGAAGCGGAAAAGGAGACGGGAGAAGAACAACGAACCGAAGAAGAACAATCGTCAACCCAAGCAGCCACAACAGCCCCCGACGCAACAGACAAGTTCGAAATCGACAAAATCATCGGCCACCGCCGGTCCCGCGAAGACCCGACCCTCCTCGAACTGCACATCGCCTGGAGGTCCCCCGACGACCCGGCGGGCGACTACACCTGGGAACCCGAGCACGCCGTGCAGACCGACGCCCCCGCCGTGCTGTTTCGGTACTGGCGCGGCGTCAAGGGCGGGCGGCGCGGCGCGGTGGCCGATCCGGACCTGTGGCACGTGCTGCGCGTGCTGGGGCACCGGGTCGACGCCGCGGGGAAGGTGATGCTCCGCGTGGCGTGGATTGGGTCGCAGGAGCGGTCGTGGGAGCCGGAGGAGGCGGTGGTTGGGTATGCGGAGGAGCATGTCGCTGCCTATTGGGAGTCTCGGGGGGGGCGTGAGGCTGTTTTGGGGAAGGGGAAAGGGGTGGGAAAGACGAGGGGGGAGAAGGCAGCGGGGCAGAAAAGGGGGCCGGTGAAGCAGAAGCAGAAGGAGAAGGAAGAGGTTGAGAGTGATGAGGATGCTGTTGGTATGGTGGTGACGAGGGGACGGGGTAGGGAGAGGGAGAGGACGGACCAGCACGAGTCTGTGGGCGGTGACGCGGAGGGAGAGGGCGTTAAGGGGGTGTCGGTCACTAGGAGGAACAGGAGGCAGGCAAAAGAGTCTAGGGGTTCGGTCCAGGGTCCTGCGACTGCGGCGACTGCGGCGACTGCAACGCAGTCTACGAGGGGAACGAAACGCAGGAGGATCGCATAGAACGACAGGATATGGCAAGAAGTGTGCGACTTGAGTTGATGATGAGATGATGGTGTTGTGTTGGGACCTTGGGTAAGGAGGGGAGGGTATGGTATATATATACCAACAGGGCTAGCTTAACAAATATGAAAGGGTCGCAAGCTTACATGTTTACAAATTTGACGTGCGAATAGTTTTAAGTGGATGGAGGATGGACGAGTCTATATGACGGGCACATCCGAATCCGTTCAACTCATACTATGATACAGACAAATGACAAATGACAAGAATGCTCCATCATCGAGGTCAAACATAATTTTCCCAATATTTCCATATTCAGTCGATACATGTGAAACATGACATCCATTATCCCAAGACCGGATTCCAAGCACTATCCTGAATTAAAAACAACGTCTCTCCCCCCCTTACGCGTTAGACATCTGCATACACCCCGCCTTAGCCCTTCCCCGCCTGTTCCGTATCCACGGGCCACGACTGTCTCGGGGCAGACGAAGCAAGGGACGTCGGCCTCGACGAGGCGAACAACGGACTGGGCTGGCCGGCGGGGGGGGGGAACTGCGGGCTCGGCTGTGGCGAGCGCCACATGCCGCTGTTGGTGTTGGACAGGACGGAGGCGCGGGAGTCGCGGGAGTCGCGGGAGTCGCGGTTGGGGTTGTAGTTGTGGAGGTTGGGCGAAGGGAGGGGCGTGTCTGCTTGTTGCTGTTGCTGTTGTTGTTGGGGCAGCCTCGGGGAGGTTTGTGGGTGGTAGTAGTTCCCCGGGAGTTCGGCGATGAAGGTTGTCTGTTCGACAGGATGGTGGAGAGGGACATGTGCTGGAGGCAATTCCGCGATTTGAGTCAGTGGATACTGGGGATATTGTTGCTGCTGCTGCTGCGGCTGCTGCGGCTTCTGTTGGGGGTGGTAGTGGTGGGGGTGCTGGGGGTAATAAGACGGCGCAGACGACCCGGCGGTTCCGGGACGGTCGGTGCCGGCGAGGACAGCATGGGTGCTGTAGGCACTGGGGCTGGTAGTAGACGGCGGTGGCGACTTGAGGCGGACGCTCTGAGAACGGTCGTTGGGATTAATGGTGCGCAGCTTCCCGTCCTCGAACATGGCGGACAGGACGCCGGCGTCGAGGAGCTCGGCCTTCTTGATGATGCGCGACACCATCTCCTTGGAGGCGGCTTTCAGCTCGGACTTGACGAAGCCGACCATGGTGACGTTGCAGCGGATCTCAATGTCCTCGCGGAGGTAGAGGCCGTCGGCGGGGGCGCCCAGCTCGGCGAGGCCCAGCTCCGGGGGTTGCGGCGGCTCGAGGCCCGGCTGGTTCCCGTCGATGCGGTACTTGATGCGGATGTCGATGCCCATGGGGACGTAGGTGTGGGTCTGCAGGCCCCAGGGCATGTCGTGGAAGCAGCCGGTGAACTTGATCTTGCCGGAGCCCATCTTGCCCAGGCCGGGGATCCATTGCATGCGCTCGGTGATCTCGTACCATGTCGAGTAGTACTCGTCGGCGGCGGCGTCGCGGGGCGCGGGGATGGGTTTGTGGTCGAGGACGAGGGGGTTAAGGGTGATGACTTCGGAGTGGGAGTGGAGGATGTCGATGGCGAGCTGGCGGGGGATGAAGCCGGGGATGGGCGTGATGGTCGTGTAGACCTCTTTTCTGCGGAGCATTTGGATTCTTTTTTCTTTTTTTCTTTATTGTTTTGGCAAGAGACGAAGAAAAAAGAAATGTCGCCCGCAGAAGGGTTACGTTGTCGGCTAGCTTTCTCAAGGTCTGTGTCGCGTTGCTTATTCTCGGGACGATCGATCGAGCGGGAGAGAGGGAAGAGGGAATGGAGGTCTTAGATGGATGGATCGATTCGAGGCTGTCGGTGGTAGAGGATAGGAGTAGGATGACGCGTAAGCGATAAGGCTGGGCGTGATGCGTGTGATGGTGATGTCGGGAGCGTTGCCATCCAAACGGCGCAGATTCGTAGTTGGAGAGGGCCGTTGCACGAGATGATGGATGAACTATAACATGGTCGTTCGATTGTATCGAGCTTTGCTTTGATGAAGGAGGAAAAGAAAGAAAAGAGCGAGACAGACGTAGGATCGGAGTTGGTTGGCCTTTGTTCGAGATGGATAAGGTAGAAGGATCAAAAACCAAGGGACCAAGGGCCCTCGGCGGTGTCAGCAAAAGCCCATGGTCTGTGCCTTCGTCTTCGTCACGCGTCATCATACGCCGTATGTACCGGTACAATGAAGGATAAGGCGCATACCTTACAGAGAACAGAGTACAACGTGTACATGGTGCAACTAGGTAGGTACTTACCCGAAACACGCCTTTCCATACTTCCACGTCCTTCGCATACCAGACAACCAGACACGAATACCTACCTACACGTGTACTTTGTGCTCTTGGGCTACGTCTACGGTGTCCAAACTTATAATACGAGGCGGGTGGCAGCGCAGCGCAGTCCAGTGTCGCACGGAGAACATCATTAAGAGGGGTGGTCCCTTAATACGTTGTATCTCGGTAGCGCCACACCATGTCCTGCTACTAAGGTAGGGACTCGAGTCTAAGGGACCCAGCCACACGGATCACCAAATATCGTTGCTACCTTATTTTATTAGGTTTCTTCCATCTCACGTCAGCCCCTAATAAGCCGCCGACGGTCCACAGTTCAATTCCACGAGGCGAAGAAGGAGGCTTAAGAGTCAAAGATTGGCCAGAAGCCGCTCAGCTTTGACAATCGCAGGAAATATCCCGTGATTACGAATTACTTCGTGGCACCAACTCAGTAATGACGAAGTATTCAGCATTGTCGGTACGGTGAGTCCGGATCAGTCAGCAGTCAGTACCTTAGGGATATCCTTAATTACCTAGGAAATTGATTAATCTCTTTTCCTCTTCATCCCAGGTACCTACAAAAGCAAGGGCCATACCTCCCACGGCATGGCATCTCAGTCTCAGAGGGACGGGGCAGCCTTCGTTTTGTCCAAGATGTTCGGGACCTGACAAGCCTCAGCACGATGGGGAGGCCGGAACGCTGTCATCACATTTCCTGCATCTCTTCAAAGTAGCATCCTCATCTATCCTAGTATCGTAGGTTAATGTGGTTGAGGCGACTCACTGCATCGCAGTTTCGCCTTCCTTCTCCAAACACCACGATAATACCGTCCTCAAGTTGACTGTCTCTGTGCCACCTTCCCGGCACCAAACCAAGTATGCGCGTCGGAGAATACTGTAGGAACAGGTGAGGACTGTTTGGAGTGAAAGAAGTGTAGAGAGACCGGTTTCGATGACCAGAGGGTGTGACGCGAAACCAGCCAAAGGGAGAAAGAGAACGTGGGGGAAGAACACCTCAAGTTTGCCGTGAACAAGCCGGTATTTATGTAGGATCTTGCAGAGACGAAAAGAAAAGAAAAGGCGACGTTTCGGAAAAACGGACCAGAAAAGATACGATGGCCCCCGATGGGTACGGGGTACGGAACACGGAATACGGAAAGACGCGTCCCTTTCCCATGTGCCGATTCCAGATGCCGATGGAAATGCGCCCCAAGATGGTCCTTCTTGGCATACGCAGACTGGGTGAACATGGAGATGGTGCATTGGTGGCTCTTAGCCTCTTTAGTTGGGCGATGTGGGAGGTTCCTGGACGTTCCTGATGCGGGGTTGTACCGGCAGTTGGGCAAGTTGGGGAAGCAACTCGACCATCATCTCGACCCCAGAATTTGTTGAGCGTTTTCCCTATTATCGAAACACGACCTAACAGTAGGTTCGTTTTGGTTCTTGGTACTAGACGGTTTCTTTCTCAGGACACGAGCGTGGCCCACCGATCTACGATACACGTGTATGTAATGCGGTTAACTGGGTGCTATTAAGGGAGGAGTATATACTATATACCCAATACCTGATGCTAAGGACCGCTATCGCCGCCTCGAAAAGCATCGCCGTCGCAAACCCAGTAGCACTGGCTTACGTTATTGTCAAGGCCATCGTCGTTGTCGCCGTACTACCGCGTAAGGCGCTCCGGGGTCATTTCCCCACAAATATGCTCCGCTACCCCATACCCTTCGACCCAAGAACATGTCAGATAATTACAGCGTAACCGGAACGGTCAAATAGGGTCAAGATTGAAGGGTAAATTAATTGAGATAATTGTCATCGTGGTAGGTATTGCTATCCTCGTGATTATTATTCGTACTATTATCATTCTAGGTAGTCCTTAGACATAAGTAATCAGCATACTATATGACAATCACATCTACTCAGTCGGAAAAGCTCCTGACAGCCAACTTGCCATTCCTCCGAAGTGCGTTGCCATGATCCACGCACATAATCCATAATCAGAGAGGCTACCTCGTGATTACCTAACCTGGTATACCTACTTCGTACTTCTTCGAAGACTTTAACGACTCCAAGAGGCTCGCCCCCGCACATACATTGTACGTCCCAGAAACCAGAAGCCGTGATAGAAGCCGATGCATCACACTGACCCAAATCGGGCTTGTCGAGATGACGACTAGGGAGGACGTGGGGACTTTAGATCTGGGGAATGTACAATGTACCCCGCACCGGCAACCCGTTACGGGAAATGGACAATGGACGTGGATGGAGTGGAGGGGGACTGGACGGGGACTGGATTCACTGGAATGGGACTGGGATGGGTTGCGCTGAAAGGAAGATGTTCCGTGTCCCGTACCTTGTAGGAAACAACATGAACGAAACAACGAAACAACGAACCCGGGTACAGCGCGGTACCGGAACGCCACAACTGTTGGGGCCCTCCCAAGAGTCCCTAGAACCCCAGTGCCCCAGTGCCCCAGACGGCCCTATCCATCTCCTCCCTTCCCCCTCAAAGGCCCCAAACTTTTACGCAGGACTGGGGGGGAATATGGATGCGCAAAACAAGTTATTGTGCAACCAGTCACTGCCCATAATGCTATGGGAAACGGTCCACATTAAGCTTAAGTTCAAGGTTCTCCGGCCTCCGTTTTCCCCATACTCCCCACATTCTCCATTCCCCAGTCTCTATTCTCCGGTCTTCGGGGTTCGGTACGTGGTACTTTACGAAATGGGGAAGTATCCGTAATGATTACTCAGTGAGTACTCCGTACTACTTTCGTACCTGCCCCGGCAGTTTAACGCCTCTTTTCTGTCTTTTTATCCCCCTTTAGGCGCAGCGGGCTTTTACACGTGACTGGCCTAAACGTCTAAACGTCGTCCTTCCCTGTCCTCTGTCCTCATCCCTCCTCCACCGTCCACCGTCCACCCCTCCACATCCACCTCCATCTCCATCTTCCCTCCAACCCCGGTTCCCTGTCTGGCCAGCCCAAATGGACCGGGGTTGATATGCATTGCGACATGATAAAGCTCCCTCCACGTTAATGCTAATTATGTATATATCTTGCTCCCCTTTTCCGCTCTTGCTCTTTGCAACCTGTCCGTGTCTGCTGTCACCCTCTTCGACTTTCCTTAGCCGGTAGTTTTGGGCAGACCCTCACCTTCCCTTCGAGTCGCTGAAAAGGCAACTCTCTCACTCTCTCACTCTCGCACTCTCGCACTCTCTCTGCCCATCATGTCCGAGAAGGAGACGACCAACAACACGGCCCACGTGGAGGCGAATGCTGCCGCCGCCCTCGAGAACCTGGGCATCAAGACCGTCACCCATGCCGATGGTACCATTAGCACCGCTGCCGGCAATGGCCAGGTAGCGACAGATGCGTGAGTTTGGCTCTGAAGGCTTTGAATGTGGATCGAGGTTTGCAAAAATTGCACGGGCTGACTCTTCTCCAACCTTGTAGCTATGGCAATCCTCTTGTCACCTTTGATGACGCGGCTGTGAGGAGACTACGCTGGAAACTCGACTTGTACACCGTTCCGACCGTTGCCCTCTTGTACCTATTCTGCTTCATTGACAGAGCCAATATTGGTAAGTCTTTTATCGTTATTCCTACACAACCAGGTGTGAGTGTCGGGACCCGGGCGTCTGTCTAACAAGAATGTTTCTGCCTCACAGGAAATGCCCGCATTGCCGGCATGGAACAGGACCTCCAACTCGAGGGCTTCGACTACAACGTCATCCTCTCGGTGTTCTACATCTCCTACATCATCTTCGAGATCCCCTGCAACATCTTCTGCAAATGGATAGGCCCCGGCTGGTTCATCCCCGGCACCTCGCTCGCCTTCGGCCTCATCTCCATCTTCACCGCCTTCGTCCAGACCCAGGCCCAGATGAGCGCCATCCGCTTCCTCCTGGGCATCTTCGAGGCCGGCATGCTCCCCGGCATCGCCTACTACCTCTCCCGCTGGTACCAGCGCGCCGAGCTCACCTTCCGCCTCTCCCTCTACATGGTCATGGCCCCGCTCGCCGGCGCCTTTGGCGGCCTCCTCGCCTCCGCCATCCTGACCATGGACAGCTTCGGCTCGCTCACCTCGTGGCGCATGATCTTCGCCGTCGAGGGCGTCATCACTGTCGGCCTCGCCATCATCGGCTTCTTCACCCTCACCGACCGCCCCGAGACCGCCCGCTGGCTCTCCCAGGAGGAGAAGGAGCTCTGCATCGCCCGCGTCAAGTCCGAACGCGTCGGCGCCACCGAGGTCCTCGACAAGCTGGACCGCACCAAGCTGTGGCGCGGCATGACCTGCCCCGTCACCCTCCAGATCTCCGTCATCTTCCTCTTCAACAACATCACCGTCCAGGGGCTCGCCTTCTTCCTCCCCACCATCGTCCGCACCATCTACCCGGAGTACACCGTCGTCCAGCAGCAGCTCCACAGCGTGCCGCCCTACGCCGTCGGCGCCTTTTTCGTCTTGGCTTTCCCCGCCCTGAGCTGGTACCTCGACCGCCGCCAGGTGCTCATTGCCCTGTCGGCCCCGATGGTCATGGCCGGTTACATCATGTTCCTGGCCTCCAACGTCGCACAAGTCCGCTATGCGGCCACCTTCCTCATCGCCAGCTCTACCATGGTGCTTGGGCCCATGGGGAATGCTCATATTAGCGCCAACGTGGTGAGCGACTCGGCTCGTAGCAGCGCCATTGGTCTGAACGTATGTTGTGTCTCTCTCTCGCCCTCTTCCTTTCCTTCAAATTCTGTTCTGGCCTTCTCAAACTAACACCTCATAGGTCATGATGGGCAACATCGGCGGTCTCGTCGCCACCTGGAGCTTCATCGTCTGGGACGCCCCCGACTACCCCATCGGCAACGGCCTCAACTTGGCTGCCGCCACCGTCATCCTCATCGTCTCCACCTCCTTCTATTTCTGGATGAAGTGGGACAACAAGCGCCGCGATGGCCGCAGCGTCGAGGAAGAGCTCGCCGGCATGTCGCAGAAGGAGGTTTCCAACCTCGATTGGAAGCACCCTGGTTTCCGGTGGCGCACATAGAACAATGGTGTCGGTTTTTCGAATTATCGTTCATGGGTTATGGGAACAAGGGGAGGTATATAAGGGATGGTATCGGATTTCGGCGACGGCGTAATGAGATCTCGTCCATGGCGAATTATAGCAAAGAGCGTTAGAGTGGCTTATAACTCTGCCAAAATACATGACATTGGCGACGGTTCTTTGGCACGTCGTGTGACGTATGCAGGCTGTCCTCTCCTCTCCACACGGCCACAACCACAGACCGAGGGGCATGGAGACACGGACTGGACGAGTTTCTTTGTCTATTTCTTTTACTTTTTGTATTCTTACGCACAAGGTCTTTACAGCATAACCGGCCGATCAACGGAGATTCATTCCATGGACGTTTAGGATACATAATCATTTCTGCTGACCCCGATCGCCCCATCGCATGTCGTATGCCCACGTGCATCCACTGACAGATCTAGTCGAACGCCTTGTACGTCTCCTCGGTCACAAAGCCCACCATAATCTGCAGTCCCTTCTTGGCTGCCGACTCCGCCTGCGCCGACAGATCGTCCTCGCCCAGAGCCTTATATGCTTCCGCCAGCACCTTGAGACCCTTGATCGTCTCAAACGTGATCACGGCCGACGTATCCCTGAAGATCCACAGCACCGGGTCCCCCTTCTCGTCCCTGCGCAGGGGCTCGAGGAAGCCAAAGGCCCTCAGCACCTCCAGCGACCACTTGACCGCCTTGGTCCACTTCTTCCGCGTCACCCAGGCCTCGACAAGCCACATGGACGGCCAGACCATCATCAGCTTGGGCAGCTGCTCGTAGACCTCGGGCTCGTGCAGCGCGTCCAGCTTGGCGGCCATGCGCTCCATCTGGCGGATGGTGGCGTCGGGCTGGTGCTTGCGGGGACTCATGCCCTTCTTGCCCATGAAGACCTCGGTCTCGGCGAGCTGGTCGATGCGCCTCTCGTGGGCGGCGCGCGGGGACTTGGCCTCGCCGGCGCAGAGGGCGCAGTCGCAGGCGAAGCCCCAGCTGGCGCGGTACTGCTCGTCGCGGCGCAGGTAGGCGGCCTTGGGCGGGAGGTAGATGTGGGTGATCTCGGTGCCCGCGGGGATGTCGACGGAGGCGACGGAGACGAGCAGGTCGCCGACGAAGGAGCGGTTCGAGTTGGGCACGCAGGCGTGGTTGGAGTAGGCGGCGTAGACCCAGAGGCCGCGCGACATGCCGTGCTTCCACACGTTGGAGCGGTTGCTGCTGTTGACCAGCGCGGCGGCGGCCGAGACGTGCGTGCCGCTGAAGCAGTTCTTGCGCCGGATCGACTCGAGGAGGAACACGTCCACTACGGGCTTGCCGTCGATCTCCGTGCCCTCGTTGCCGCGCCGCTTGTAGGTGCCGCCGTAGAGGTCGATGACCTTGCGGTGGATGGAAGGGTTGTCGTTGCACATGGCCACGAGCTGGGCGTAGGCGGCGGCCGAGTTGTGCTCGGTGTTGAACTCGTTGGGCACGCAGGTGGCCTTTTCGGCGTAGATGATCTCGCCGGCCTTGATGTCGCGCACGGCGAAGAGGCCGCGGCCGTGGTGCGGGGAGGAGCGCACCTCGGTGTTGCAGATGAAGCTGGCCTTGTCGAGGTGGATGTTCTTGGTGGTGACCGACCTGGAGATCTCGGCGAGGTTGTAGTTGCCCTTCTCGCTCTCCTCTACCCGGGCGAGACACCGCTCGTACTCCTTTTGCACGTTGGCCGATGGCGGCTTCCTCTTCAGGGCTTCTTCGAAGTAGGTCTTGCTGGTCTTGAAGTCGGTGAGTTCGTAGGCGGCGCGGGCGGCGATGAAGTACGACTTCCAGTCGGTAGGGCCGCCTAGTGACGCGAGGGCGTCTTGGAGGGCGTTGTCGAAGCACTTGAGGGTGAGGTTGACGCCTGCCCGCTTGGTGTAGAGGCCCGATTTGAACTTTGTGTCGTCTTCCGGTGCCAGTTCGAGCGCCCTGGTGTAGCTGTTCGAGGGTGTTGGTAAGTGAATGGGCAAAATAAAAGAGTATAGAGAAAGAGAGAAAGAGAGAAATGAAAGGAATGGGAAACTCACTTAGCGCCAGCTTGCGGCAGATCCCTCGCCATAAAAGCTTGGTCTCCGGCATCTCGCCAGTCCGCCGCACTGGTAAGCGGCTCTCCTGTCCTGAACGACTCGGGAATGAACTCATCGCCAGGTCCCTGCCGCAAAAGGATGGCGTCGGAAGGATGGTCGACGCAGACCATGAAATCGTGGTCGCCGCTGAACTTGTAGTACGGTTCCTTCACGAGGACGACGGACCCTTCGGGAACGGCGTTGAGGACACTGGAGTCGCCCTGGTTGTAGAGGGCCAGCTTCTCGGTGTTGCCAAACTCGTCCTCGACGATGGCCACGGTTCCGGCGCCTTGGTAGGGCGGAGTGATGGTCCGTACGACGATGTAGGCGTCCTCGTGGTGATTTTCCACGATCAAATCACTCAATGGCATCTGTTTCTTGGTTGTCAATTTCTCCGTGCCCTCTCTTCTCTGTGATGTGCTCTTCTCGCATGAAGTCCCCTGATCACTTCACAAAACATACCTTTTCCAATTCTTTGATGGATCTTGACGACGGCGGGTAGGACAGCGCAAGAATGACCTTCTTCACCATGCGCGGTGCCTTCTGAGCCCCCGCCTGGAGCTTCCTGGCGACATGTTGGTTGTGCAGGGCCACCAGCTTGTCCCTTGGTGTGCGATGTGGAGGGGGTTTGCCGGCCAGTCGGTTGGCCTTTTGCAGGTAGTCGAGGGAGAGGTTGGGGTCGACGTCGACGAGGATCTCCTCGACGCCGATCTGGAGGTCGAAGTCGGCTTTGGTCTTTTCTAGTTCGGTCTGTTCGGCGAACTCCTCGTCTGCTGACTCCTCCTCCCGCCCATTCGCAGGTACGACCTCGTTGGCCTGCGTTGCCGGATCAGGGACGGCCATCGTGTGCAGCGTGCTGGGTTTCGCCCGCTGGTCGCGTTTCCGAAGATCGTCGCCGGTCGGGGCAGACGTGGCCGTCACTCGTGAGTCGTGAGGAGAAGGTTATCACGGGAGACGCTGGGATCGAAACCCAGGTTAGACGTCGAGGCAAAGCTGATGGGATGGCAGTGATGAAGCAGAGTCAGCTAGGTCAGTCAGCACTCAGCAGACAGTTGCAGACTCGCGTTGAGGTCGAGCTTTCGAAGGTTATCTAGACGGGTGAGGAGAAGGATAAATTGCGAATCTCAATGTGGTAGCCATGGTGGAACTCGCTAAAATAAGGCATCCCCAAGACCACCTTGAGCGGAGTACATGTATGCATACGAGATAGGTGTCATCTTGGTCGTCTAGGACTCGAGGAGTCGAGGACGGAGCTGTCGCAGGTGAAGAGCCGCGCCCAAAAGGGAATAGTGTCTCTGTTGGCATCTCCAGCAGTCATTGGACCTGGCTGCATTAAGCCTATTATTATGCAGGGTTCCGGACAATTCCTAATGTAGCAGGCGGCCAAAGCTCCGGGGGGAACAGGGGGGAGGGGTTAAAGGGGCGGGGGGACCATGGACACTCTTCAACCTCCGCATTCTCGGCGCACCGTTGTTCGGAGTTTGACCATCCGATTTCGATTTCTCTTACTTCTGACAGGGGATCATGGCCCCCGCGATCTCCCAGATTAATCGAGCCTTGACGCGTAATAAGTAACCGGACTCAGGCCCAGTCATTCCGGAGCTTCCATTCAAAGGGCCTGTTCTCAGTTAAGTCTGATCGTCTTGCTCCGCGGCTTTTGATTGCCTGGTGAGTAAAGGGGGTATACCGTATTGCATGGCTTTATTTGGATCGTCCGGTGCTTCCGCACTCGTTTAGGAGAGTCAATGTCACAGCGATATTAAATGCGACTTTCCCCTTGCTTTCAATTCACCTCACACACCCCGCGGATCACGGGGAAGCCTTTTGGACTTTGCAATGCCGGTCCTGAGCCCGAATCACCCCGAGTCACTTGTATTTGTACATGTCACATTCGGCCCGTGCCGAGTTCGGTGTATTTCGTACCCGGAGGAGACCGGGTACAATGTACTGTATCGGGTACCTTATATGGTGCCTGTACGTTGTACTCAACTACCACCTGTGCTCTCATCGGTGTTACCGGATGCTTGTCGAATCATTCGAGATATGGTCATCTTCTTAACCATCTCAGATACACAGCTTAACATGGAAGTGTCCAAGTCGGCTCTTTTCCGTATTTTGCATATGCCCACAATCACAAAATACCATAGTCTAACAGTCTGGCTCGATATCTCCCCGAAGTACCATCTTAGGTCCGTTAAGCCGATCCGCCTCTCCAACATAAGAGATGGCAAGACGATATATATCACCACAATATTTTCTTTTAGTTGCAAGAGAGAGAAATATTTTGAGAATTGATGACCGGATCTCCAGAGTCCATATATTATTGAACTCTTGTCACCAACGTCGAGCCGAGAGATAGTGATTAACACGGTAACGCCAGTGCACCCCCGACTCCATGACGCCACAGAAATCCCAAGCCATCCTCCTCACCGGCGGAACAGGCAAAGTAGACAGTCGCGTTGTCTCCCTTCTGGCCAAAACCTCCCTTCCGACCCTTCAAGCTAGGCCGGCAGGCAGCAGGCTGTGCTGCGACCGAGTTGGTTTCAGCGTATGTGACCGGAATTTCTTCCTTGTTCTCAGTAATACTGGACATTTGCTTGCCAATGGCCAATGTAGAATGCACACTTAGTAGAGCCGAACGTATATCATCGAAGTTGAGTCGATCTTAAGAAACCATTGCGTATGCGAGCGAGTTGTGGTTGACGCCCCATAGATTTGCCTTCCCTTTCTACCTACAACGAAAGTCCAAGACTCTGATTTCACCTCCCATGCCTTGTAGGACAACCCGCCGCCAGTATTTCTTCCTAAACCCAATAGGCCTCGACGTCTATGGGCTCAACCCCCTCCCTCAGGAGGTCGAATATCCAAATCTCGCCAGTGACCACAAGATGTTGAAACCAACTAAGCCCTTTCTGTACCATGTCATGTTGCTCGTACTGATCAATCTGTCTCTTCAACAGGTTGCGGTACTCATGGCCCTCGGCAAACGACCGGGGAGGGATTTCAGGCTTCCAGGCGAGATTGGCCCGCGCCGTGGCTTCCCGAAGGAGCCTGACACAATTATCGCAGCAGGAATCGTGCTTGCCACGGTAGTCGTAGGTGCCATAGCGCGCTGCTGTGTAGTGGCCCACCGTCATGGCGCCGGTAGTCCACGTAGCATGCACCGGGTATAATGTGGCCGTCTCGAGGATAGCTTCCAGGTAGACGTGGAATGGATCTTCCACCCCCAATACGCCATAGACACCCGTGACACCGTTCTCATGGTTTCGAGCAGCCGTGTCACTACGCCAGTCGAATAGGTCGTGTACTGCCGTGAAGACCTGCGGCGCGATCAGCCCTTCGGCCAGAGTGCCCTTCCCGAAAAGGTAGCTGGTGTAGGGCACCGTGGCGCCGTTTACAGCTCGCCAGGACATGACGCCCTCAATCAAACCGGCCTCTCCGGTTCCCAAACCCGTGCCGGTGCCTGTGGCTTGAAGCATGCTCCCGTCGATAATGGCCTCCGCCGCCCAGCCTCCAAAGGCATATGCTGCCCCAACGGCGAGTGCAGCATGCCTGATGCGGGCCTCGTAGTCTGACTCCGTGAAGCTGGCATAGTCGTCGCAAATGGGGACGTGGGAGATGAAGGATAGTCTAGCGGCTTGCTCAGGAGTACCCCAGGCTAACATAGCCAGGTGGCAGGGTAGGGCACCAGCCTCGTAGGCGGCAGTCGCAAGGATATTTCGTTGCGGAAGGAGAGAGTCGCCAACGGGTTGACCATGCCAGTTACTGAGGAAACTCCGCTTCTTGTCGATGTGCGGGATCTTGTGAGGTTGACCCTCGAAGCGGTCATTGATGAGGGCAGCGCAGCCGGCGCGTGCGGCTTCAATGATTTCGGGTCCGTACTTGCTTAGGAGCTCCCTTTGAAGCTCGGAGCATGATCGAACCCAAGGAGCGGATGCCCTCGAGGGATGGTCCTTTGGTGCCATAATGGCAGCTCGACAATACGCAATGCAGTCGCGCCAGGTTTGGGAGACGAGTTTCGAGTCGTGGCGGCGCATGAGAAGCCGCAGTCCGTCTTTCATGGCCTGTATATACGACGGCTGATGGAGATTCGCATCAGACTTTTCTTCGAAAGTGTCCAGGCATTTTTGTAGGTCGGTATCGAGGTTCTGCTCGCGTTCTTTGAGATTAAGTCGAGAGGATGCCATGATTGGAATTCGAGAATCAACTAGATGTGGATCGATATATGTCTGAGGTGCTGCATGAAGAGATAGAGAACACTCCAAAGCCAATGCGGCATACTGCCTATTTATAATGCTCGGATCCAATTTTATGTTTCCTGCCTCTGTACAGGTAGTTTCTATCATTATACAAGAGATGACGAGGGAGTATCTGAAAATTAGCCATTATACGCAAAAGCTCCAGCTCTCAGTTCTGCCACAAGTAGTCGAGATAGCCTCAAGAAGCCCGATTGAAACATCAGCTCACCGAACGTAAAAGCACACTGTGTGTGATTCAGATTGTCGGTGGCCCTTGACGAATGTTGCAGAGTGGCGGCCTACTCTGACAAGTTCTGTGACCATAGACAAGAGACCACGTCCACAACGGCCGGCTCATAAATGTCTCGCCTTAGTCATTAGCTGCGTACATGATGGCATGCTGGAATGATTCTACCAAGTCCACGGCAATGGATGGAATGGCATGCTGGAATGATTCTACCAAGTCCACGGCAATGGATGGAATGGCACGGCTTTTAGGGACCCCTGAGGCCTGGAAGGATTTGGCCGAGCGCTGAGGAACTTCATACAACGGTCTCAGACGATGGAGTATCTGCCAGGTGAAGGATTCTTTATCGGTTGTTATACTGACGAGAACCATGCAGCCGGTCTAGTTATCTCCATGATAGGGGTGGTTTCTTCTCGTGTTGAGTGTACACATTCAAGCGCAGATACCTCTTCGGCGCCTGTGTTGTCATGTATGTCAAGGAACGAAGAAACACTTCTATAAGTTCAAGTGTTGGCTAATGACTGCGTAACATGCATTTAGAGATATCATATGTGACAAAATCTATGGGATCTCCTCAGCGAATTGGCATATGGATTCTGCGTCACATCCGCAATGGGCTGACAATCACTGATGTTTCAGTTACCGTACTCGAGCATGATATGCAGTTGAAGTACTAGATGCAAGCCATAGACAACCTATCCATCCCTTTCTTTTCCCTTTACGTTGGGGATCAGAGAGGGTTTTACTCCATCTTGAGTCCGCCAAACTGCCGTTGGGACTGTCTTAGATGACCCCTAAACGGCCCGGGTGTTCTTTTACCTCCTCTAGCTTACCCTATGCTTGTTCCAAACCATCATCCCGACTAGTGGCTTGACCCGCATTGGCATATAGACCTAGATGGTGATGAATTGGGCGTGCTTTTTTAAGTCAACTCGATGCGTAGTCCTGGAATTCGCACTGGAATTCCACCATCTGAGGGGATTCGTTATAAGACAGCCTCACTGGTTGACCAGAGAGACCACAAAATTTCTTTTAAAAAGGAGGGGGAAAAGGGGGGGTAAAGGAAAAGGAAATGCTCCAAATGCCGGGTCGTTCTTCATCCCCGATAGTGTCCATGTCTGGAGTTTCATCAATTACTGTCCACTTTACCGTCTTGGTTGCAGAAGTGCCATGTCACTCACATTGGTCGTGTACGGAGGAATGGTAAGTTCAATCCCTTTAAATCAAGAAATCCAACCCACCCCCAGCCCGGTACGGGAATCCCTATCCTTCTCCTTGAAGACAGTGCGCCTAGGTGTAATCAGCCTCCCGACCATCTTTAACAGAATTTCCTCACATTGGGCTTGGTTTGGGACCCGACTTGCGTCATCTGGGTTCGTCTCTCTGGCAACTTATCATACTCATACTGTTGAACGATGTCGTTGGACCCTTGCTGGAGGCGAAAGGGTCCCCCATATGTACTTTGTTGAGACCAAGATAGGGTCGCCGATCAGTTTCAGATGATCACCCTCTGGACTGGGGACCACGGAGTTAAGTTCCGCCATCCAATATCTTACATGAAAGATGATGAAACCGAGGACGCCGAGCCCAAAGTCCTCGTCTGCTTCAAAAAGATTGGCGTACTGTACACTAGAACTCGCTTGGGAGTACCTCGTACATTCTTGCCAAGGCCTAGTTACGTACCAATTTAGTAACCCGGCAGTTAGAGTGTCGGGCCGGCCTGACCCACACAGGGTGTGTGGGGCCGGACCCCGAGTCCATGTCCCGATCAGGGTGGACGCACGAGTGGACCACGCTTTGTACCACCAGCCAGCCTTAAGACAGGATGTGATGACTTGCATGGGCATTTTCGTATTCGTATCAGTCGATATCAATGTCTGAGACAACCGCCACCCTCGTCTTCCAAAGACGACACTGTAGTCTGTGGACTGTCTGTTGACTCTGTTCTGTAGACTGTCCCGTCTATGAGTGACGACGGAGGCACACTGCAATCCCGTTGGCCACTTGATATGCGTATTAGACAAAAGTCCCTGGTTGCCGGGGTCGGAGGGTTACTCTCCCTGCGTTTGGCTGCAGCTCTGGGCCCCGGCATATGAGTTAATCGTAATTGGCGACGTTGCTTGCAGTAGGTATGTAGCTTGTAAGTGGTCACAATCTTGATTCTCGGCAGAAGGCCAAACAGGAAATGAACGAAGTAACAATTGACAAGGAGTGCTTTTACACACGTTACATGGCAGAAGCCCTGGCGTCATATCCGTACTCGGTTAGGACATATAAGCAGGCAGATAAACTGACAGGGCTTTAGGTATGTGAATGCGTAAATACGCAGAAGAGAAGATCTCAAGTAAATTCATATCTTCATAGGCTCAGCTACTTTGATGAATCTGAGTTGGTTACTTGCATCATTTACATGGCACATAGAAGAGATAGGTGCTTTGGGCCGCAGTTACTGCGTAAGGAGTGTAGAGTCATGTATATTGAAAGAAGAAAGATGCAATTATTCAGAATAATATTATCAACATGAACCTTGGCAAGAGAAGTCTGTATGTTAATTATTCCTTTCCAGTGGCTCTTTCTCTCTTCTCACGTTTAAGGTACTTACCTAACCTGCCTGCCTGCCTTCCGTACCTTGACTTACCTTACATGTATCCGTAACTTCTCTCTTCTCAGACATCGAATGTACCTTGGGTTGGTGACCAAATCTTCTTATCCGTCAGTAGTGCAATCATAACAGAAGGAACTTACCTCGGTCATCGTGCTTGGCACAAATTTGAGAGACTCTCACTCGGTTCTCACTCAGTTCAGTCCTCAGGGAACGAGTCCCATATCCCTCGCCCTGGATACGTAGTTCTGGCAAGTCATCCACCCATCAAACACGGCGTCACCCCAAATCCAGTGCTCTTTGAAGACATCGCAAGGTGTCACCCCCTCTACCCACGTATCGTCAGCAATGGTACAAATGCAAGGCCTATCAATCTGGCGGGCCACGAAACGGGCATGGCAGGGCACAGCGCCGCCGGGAGGAACGTTCCACGGCGTCGCCCTCACTTTGGCATGGTAACTCTCCGTCATCCAGTCCGACAGGGCCCGGAGGGTCTCGAAGCGCGGGTCCTCCTCGTACTCTGCACGCACGCCCGGGTCGGTGACGAAACAGATAGAGATGCGCTCACTGGGGTGGTGCGTCGCGTTCCAGGCGTACATGTGGCGGGCGATCTCCCGCACGGCGCGGCAGCGGTGGCACATATCCGCGATCCAGGTTACGGCGAAGGTGTCCCGGGGGTAATGGGTCGGGCGCAGGGCGAAGGCGTTGGCGAAGACGTACTGCCCCTCCGGCCGGGTTAGGGGGACGTTGGCAAGCTCTTCCTCCGTGGTGGGGAAGGGTACGCCCTCCATCCAGGAGGTGCAGTCGGTGAGGCAGTAGCTCAGGGCGCCGCTGCAGGTGCGGCAGCCGTCGACGGGACAGGTCTGCTTCATGGCCTCGTACTCTTCGACCGTTGCTGCTCCCGAGGCGAGGCATTCATTGAGGACCTCGTCGCGGCTGATGATCTCTTCCTGCAGGTTCTCCTCGCGGATCAGCATGTCGCAGGCCAGGGCGAAGTTCTCCTGTTCCTCCTGATCTTCGGAGATGTCGGCGAAGGTGTCAGTGTTGATCCTCTGGTCAAGGAATTCTTCGTCGAACTGGCTGTCTTGGTAGAGGCACTTGCGGCAGACGATATGCCCGCAGGGGAGGATGGTGGGCAGCAGCCCGACCTGCTCTCTTTCGTCCGGGGGGGTGGCATCCCCTATGGCGGATAGGCCGTTGTAGGCCCACTGCTTGAGGTCGACGACCGGAGGCAGAGCCAAGTGCAGAGGCCTCATTTCGCGGTCGCAACATCTACAGACCAGGACGAGGATGCTCAATAAGTCGGGGTTGCTGGCCAGGATGGGCCGAAGGGACGGGAACCAGCTCGCGTCGGCTTCGAGAAGTTGCTCGGCCATTGTGTTGGAGTAAAGTCTGTTTCGAGTTTGGGAATATTGTTAGCAAGTTGTAAACTGGGGACACTTACTAGTTGGTTTCTTCTGTGTTTGATGACTGATGAGATGTTTCCATGAAGCCATCCAGATAGCGACGAATATATACTCCATTCCTAAAAATGGTCGCAAAGTAGAACTATTGTTCTGTATCTGGTCAGTGATACTGATCAAGTGAACATCAAAGATAATCGGAGAACAATTCATTGATTCTTGTCAACAAAGAACTAATTATCACGGTTGTAACTTATAAAGCAAGACGAACAATGAAGAAAGATAGTATGCCGCCTCGAACCTAGGGGCCATTTATTGCGAACAAAGCATTGGAACTAAGAACCTTTGTTATGAAGACAGACTCAGACTCGGGGGAGAGATGGGACTTCGCAAAGACAAACCTCCCCCGACTGTTCTTTTTAATAAAAGAGCAAAGTGTACGTAAGACAGCGAGAAAAGAAAAGGAAATAAAGTAAAGCAGATACAAAATAACACCAATACTCAAGAAGCAGAAGTATATTGCTGGGGGCAGATTCAAAGTTATCAGGGGTGATAACCTAGAGACAAAGAAGTCAGCGGACGATACTATCCTTGACTCCTATAGTCCTATTTGCTTATTAAGATAGAAGTTTCATTTAGTTAAAGGGTTAAGCTTGTCCGATAATGATTTAGTAATAAAGGAGTATACAGTAGGAGGCTATAGGCAGTTCCTCCCTTTTATATACAGTATATCCCTCGCTCCTACCGCGAAGCTTTTTATATAGGCTAGGCCTTTAAAAAGATACTATGCACGTACTTAGGAGACATAACACTCTCCTTTTGTATTTCTCTTTCTTCTTCACTCGTGACAAGTGCTTCGGTTGGGGAAGGAAACTGAACCATGCTTCTATGAACCGATCTAGTCAGTTTGATTCTTTTGTGTATTCTGACCTGAGTTCTCTGAAATCAGTTTACAGTTCTGCAAAGAATTTACTTTCTGAGCTTAGATTCATCCCTATCAGGACGCTAGACATCTGCCCTCTGAGATCGGGATCCCTCGTATACTATATATCACCTATGGAAGAACGAGCCCATGGCTAGATGTCATTACCCCTACAGCCACTCAGCCTACTCCTCGTCAGAATCCGTACAACCGCACGTCGTGTACGGTCTTCATAGGTCCTTCTCTCCCCGACATTCGTCTCGGAAGAATTGTTCTTGCTGGGAGGGAAAGCACCCAACACATCCCGAATAATAGGAACCTCATCCAGTGAAGGCAGCTTGACCGAAGCCCAAGTCCTCGCCGTGTGACTCCCCTCCCGCTTCATCAGCAAACCCATAAGCTCCATGTAAGCCCGGACCATGCTTTTCACCCAAGCGAAGAACTCTTCATGAGAAGTGTAGCTTGCGCGCTCGTAAAAGTCGAGCTTAGTACCCACTAGAAGACGTCGCGGTTGCTGCTGTTTACCTCCATGGGCCCCATTCCGACCCCTTAGTCCCCATTCACCGAGTTGGGACTCACGCGCCGTTTCGTGGTTGCCCATGCCTCGGGTCACTTCGCGAAGAGATATGATGAAACGCAGCTCAGTGACCCAACTGGTCAGTTTGTTCCAGCGACAGTGGTCGCAGCGAGGGTGAAGACACTGCATGTGATGAGATTGACGAGATTGATGTCCACTGTCCGTCTGTGTCTCCACCTCGGCTTCGCCGGCAGCGCCCTCACGTTCGGAAGTCATCGCCGCCTGGAGGGCATGAAGAGCAGCCGCGTTCTTCGGGATCGGCACCTCGTCGCCGTAGCCCTTTTCGTCATCGTGCTTTGACACAAAACGGCAAAAGGGACACTTCCACTGAGCGCCGATGTGTTCAGTGGTGGCCCCGTTGTTATCGCCGCCCTCTTGATCCTGATTGTCGTCATCACCGTCGTCATCTTCCTCATCATCATCGCCGTTATTGTTATCATTGTTGTTCTCGACTCGTCCTTCTTCAGTCTCTTGACTGCCATCGCCTTCATTGATGTCATCAACTCGTCCCTCTTCAGCCTCTCGACTGCCGTCTTCGTGCTCCCCAGAATTCATTTCGGTGTCACTATCAACGGCCTCGTTCCATTCCGTGTCGAAATTGGCATCTGCCTCGGGAGTCGGGGTATTGATCATGTCAAGAAAGCAACGAAGGCCCATGATGTGCTGGCAGGGCAGGATGATACCGACCTCATGTTGTGCATCGGGGCAGGCGTGTATCTGGGCAGCCCGGGCCACGGCTTCTCGGGTAACGCGGCCCTGGTCGTGGAATTCTCCCGTGATGGCAAGAGGGCGCCAGCAAACCGGGCAATCCATTTTCACATTCTCCCAGTCGTCATCATAGAGGCTCTTGAGCTGCTGAGCAACTTGGGGCCAATAGCAGGACCCTTCGATGTTGGTGGCCGTTTCTTCGTCTTTGTTGCGACCGCTCCCCGAGGGGGCTTCGCCATAAGAGCCGCTCCCGACAGCGTCGATGTCGACGCGAGCAACGACTTGAGAGTTATCTTTATCCCCCGAGTTGCAAACGCTCCCGATCCTTCCCATGTCGTCAGCAACGGGGACAGGCCGGTTACGGTGGATGTCCCCATAATGCAGGGCACTCTCGAACTGCACGGCATAGTCCGTGAATCCTAAGTCAGCCCATCTCATACAGCAAGGAGTCTTTCCAAACAGGGCGGTGATGGTGGTCATGTGAAAATCCCAGGTTGAAACGCTTTCCGGGAGCTTCGTCGCTATAGCCGTCATTCGCAGTAACTGGACGAAAAGGGCGTGCCAGTACCGTATTTGTTCCTCGGGCCAGTAGTTGGCAAGCAGACTCTTCGAGATCTGCTCGATCGTGAAGCCGGAGACGTTGGCTTTGTAGCGGTTGATGACCTCGACATCTTGGTCACTTTCATCGGCCATGGTTGTGGAGGTTGAGAAATGACTGTTTCTGAGGCACTCGATGAATTCGTCTTGTTGTTTTCTCCTCTCCATTTACCTGTTTGTCTGTTCAAGAGAGGAAGAGCAAAATTTCTGTACAGTACCAAGCACCGTCCAACCCAAGCAGCGGTGTGTAGGTCATGGCCCTAATCCATTCCCACACATAACCCGAACAAGCCTCGACTCCCACGCGAAATGCGAAACTGACCATGGCCCGGAGAATCCCTCCTGACGCCCACCATATGCAGTTATACAGGAGTAGCAGCAGTAGCGAAAGGGCACCATAGAAGTCTAAGTCTAGTCCCTGGATGACACGTTGCTGTGTCGTGCCCTCTTCCTTCCGCTGGCGGGACCCGCGGCAGGGTGCATCTTCTCTGTCCTCTCGCGCTTGAGCTTCTCGTCGAGGACCCGTGCTGTTGGCAGAAAGAAAAAAAGTCAGCGATGTTTCCAGACGACGGAAAATCCAGAGATAAACGGCCGGGGGGGGGGGGCGAAAAATGCAAAACGGAACAAGAACGCACTGAGAACATCGTAACCAAACTGGGGAAACTCCAAGCACAACGACTTGAACTCGTCCTCGGCCTCGGCGCGGAGCGTATGGGAGCGCGCGGCCCAGAAGCTGGCGATGGGGGCGCGCACGGTGGTGTCGTCGGGGCTGGTGTACTGGTACACGTAGCGGGCGTAGGCGATCTCGCCCTTGGCGGTGGAGTTGACGCAGTGGATCTTGGAGCTGGAGAGGAGCTTGAGGCCGGAGACGCCGTACTTGTCGGCGAGGGTGTAGACGCGGGCGTGCTTGAGAAGCTGATCGCCTGTGTCGTCGACGCTGGGCATGGAGGGGTCCTCCTCGAGGACGCGCTGCCCGGAGAGCTTGCGGGGGAAGTACTCGCCCGTGTAGAGGTATTCGAGGAAGCTGCCTACGGCTTCGGTGTTTTCGTTGGAAAGTTCGATTTGGCGGGGCTACGGTAGAAACACATCAGAGATGATATTTTCGATGCATTGTTTGAATGGGCTAAGTCAAAGAGAGGGAAAGAAAAAAGAAAAGAAAAGATATGTCGACGTACACTTCCATCATCGCTAAACTGCGCACACGCCTCCTTGAAGAAAGGGCTCTTGGCCAAGAGGGCCTGGTGGGCTGTCAAGATGGTTTCGGTGCCGTCCTGACCGACGAGCAAGGTGACGACGGGACTGGTAAGGTAGTTCAGGAAGGTGGCGCGAGGTTCGGGGGCCTTGTCGTCCTGCTTCTCGGCGGCGGCCCCTTCAGCTTCACCGTCCTTCGCGGACTCTCCGACGGTGTCATCGCCGGGAACGATGGTGGTGCCCTCCATCTCAACGTCGTCGCCGGTGGTGGCCGGCTGGGAGGGACGTCCTTCGACGATTTCGACGGCGCTGCGGTCGTCGGCCATGGTGGGCGAAAGCTTGTCTGGAAGATGAAGCTGGACCTCGGGGGACGTTATCGAGGAATTGGATAGGATCTGTCGTATATTCTAACAAGGTGATTCGTAAGAAACTGAACTGAATTGAATTGAAGCGAATTGCCTGGAGTTGAAACGGTGGTGGATGGGTGAAGTGGCGTAGGAGGAGGGAGAGGTAGAGGTGGGCGACTTATCCGGATGTTGCTTTTGTACGGGAGTCGCTGTTTTTCCGTAAGAGCAAGGCGAGGTAGCTTTCCCAGCCATGTACCTGCGCTAGCGCTCCCAAGCTGCATGGATGCCTTATGCGCAAGGCGACAAGCAATCTCCACAGCAACAGCGTTATCGATAACGGTTTTCGCCCATAGAGGATGTTTTGAACGGACCGTGGTTTTTGTCGCACAGACCTCCCTCGGTGTGGAACAACCTGACTGCCGATTACGTGTTTGGGCACGGAAGGTGTCGCACCTCCCTCGGGGTTAAACAACCTAACGGCCGAATAAGCGGTCAGGCACAGAAGGTGGATATCCGTAGGATTATCGGGCATTAATTTTGTCTTCTAGAACCACACGTTTTATATAATGTTTTACGGCTTTAATATAATTAATTTAGAGCCTTTTAATCTAACTGGTTTTATCGTATTTACTCTTTATGATTATACTATATTAGGTAGTTACTGCTAGTAGTTATAGTTTTCTATAAGAAGGAATATATCTTATAAGATCTTATATCGGAATGCTTCTCTTTATTATCGATAACGTTAGATACCTCCTTTGACAATTCTTTTAGCTATAGCTTCTAAGAATCTTTTTAGTACTATTTATAAAGCTTTTAGCATTCTTTTCGATTTCTTCCCGGAATCTCTTTTACCATTCGTTATTCTAGGTCTTAATAATTCGGTTATAACGTTCTAAACCCTCTTTTAAAGGTATATATCACTTACTTCCTTATATCTTATTAATATCAGGGCACTTTTAGAAAGGGTTATAGTTATACCGGCTCCTCTTTTTAGTCTAGTAGTCGTAAATCCACTCCTTTTTTAAAGACTATTAGGAGTTCTATTATCCCTATTATACCGGCTATTACTTACCTTCTTTATCCTTTCTTAAGAACATCGCCGTATAAAAGGATAATATAGTAGGTGCTATAACCGCGTAGATACGGCTTTAGAGTGGTTTTAGTAGACGGTTATATAACCCCCTTTTTAAGGCTACGAGATCCACCACCTCTATATATATTAAGGACAGGCTCCGGACATCCCTATTAAGAGATTATCATTCAATTATTATCCTCTTTTATAATTACTTATTCTACGTTTAAGGTATCTTTTAAGTTTAACTTATATTACCCTGATCAGAATAGTGACTACCGATCTACTTCTTCGCTAAAGGTTATTATCAGGTGCCTGCAGCAGTGGTAATAATAGGTTCCCAGTGTGAACTCATAGGGGTTCAGGCGTATCCAGTCTAAGACCCCTCGAGGTATAAACAAAGCAGTCATCATACTAGCAAACAGAATAGTCCCTCGAAGTAAATAAGGCAGCCCTCGAGGAAGCAAATAAAGTAGTCCTCGAGGAGTAGCGGAGCGTAGTCTTAAGGAGCGGGGGAGCCTCCCCTTAGAAGAGGGAGGCCAGCGATTAATCTAATTCTTTAGCTACACCCACGTTCCGACCCCCTTATAATCCTATCGTGATTATACCTGGTTCCTTACTTGACCCTACCTTTTCACTCTTTGCGACTACCCATTTAACAGTTATAGCGTTATTAGTTATGTTTTGGTTATATATCGTGGTTTAGCTAGACTGACCTCTTTGTCTGATCTTTGTCTTAACGATCTGGTGCTACTATATCTGTATCTAGTTATAGCGTCTTATTAAGTCGGTAGGGGTAATAGCGATAAGGCTATATTATATACTCTTCTATAATCGATTAGATTAAAGATAGACTATCTTCTTCTAGCTATAGGAGCTTTATAAACTATATCTTAGACTATTCCAGGGCTATCCTCCGAATAGTATTAGAAAAGCCGTTAATCTAATCTTTGTTAGTATTATAGGCACAAATCTTATACGTCTTAGCGTCGCTGTATAGCTTAATAAAGCCTTTTAGCTAGTATTTATAGGGTATATACCTAATATTTTAGATATATTCGTCCTATTGTTGCTTAATCAGTGATTTCTAGACTGTATTCGTCGGCTTAAGGCCCGTCTTAAGGGCTTATAATATATCCCTTACTTCTCTTTTACCGGCGTACTAATTATTTAACGTAGGGCTAATAGTTTTAGCGATATGATTCTAACGGGCGTAAAGGCCCTTTTACTCGGCCTTATAATAATTCTTTTCTACCTACTAGATCTTAAGGAGTATATCCTAATTAGAGGTATTACGTTATTTAGTAGTAATGGACGGCTATAGTAGATCTATTCGAATACGATATATAGGCCTTTTAGCCTTTTTAAGATCAGGATTAATAAGGTTAGCGATATCATAGGAGTACGCGATAGTTATCACCGCTTTAATATAAAGCTGCTAGTCCTTTAGCGTAATAAGCATTGTAAGCGCTAATATATATACTACTACTATAAAGGTTATCGTTATCCGAATAAAAAGCAGTATAATAGGATAAATAAAAAGGTCGATTAACTAAACTAAATACTTTAAGAGACTGACTCCACGATATATAAGTTTTGTCCTAGTGATATATAAACCTACTTTTAAGTGGAGCCATAAAGATAAGCGGCCGTTAATACAGCTGCAGCGCGAAGCGTGTTATGAAGATATACGAACTAAAGATAGATTCTAGGAGAGGTCATAAGCTCTACGAGCTTACCTGTAGAGGTATAATAGATATACCTCGGCAGTCTCCTGACTAAGCTACCTCTCTGACTAAGCTAGAATAAACTGTGGCACTAGAATAAACTATACCACTTCGTGCCGTCTCTACATACTAGCAGGCTAGCGTATATAGAGTAGTAAATACCCTCCCCCGTAAAAGTAATTGTCCCGATTATATATATCTCGAATATCCGTCCGAAAAGACTTAGTAGTGAGTAAAAACTATAATAAACTAAAGTGTAATAATGGACGAAAAAGAGAAAAAAAAAAAGATAAGAGTTATAATATCGGAAATAAAACAGGAGCGTATCCGCTTAGATTAAGAAAACTAATAGATTATAGTATAGCCTCCTTAGTCCGAGTCGTTAATCTAATCCGGTGTAGTCTATATATTTATAGTCTATGCCTTATTCTGCGAGATGGTTTCCTAACTAGGATTATGTATATTAGTCTGGTTCTAGGTATTATTAGTCGTTATCTAGGGCTATTATATTATTAGTGCGGGTGATAAGGTGGTAGTTAAGGTGGTAGTTAACTATAGGTTAAGGTGCTAGAGGATCTTGTCTATATCCTATTTAAGCGATATAATCTGGCGGTCCGTGATCGCTTCGTTATATACTAGGGTCTTAATATCGTCGATTACGATCTGTATATCTTCCTCTATACCTTGGAATTTACCTATTATTATTTATATATACTCGCCTAGAGTTTCTATTATGCTAGTAATGTTTTTGCTAAAATTAATAAAGTTATTTACTATTATAGCTTCCTAGTTATCGAGCCTCTTATCTAGACGGTTAAGTCTCTCGTCGGTCTTCTACTCGAGTATCTGTATACTTACCGTTAACGCTTATAGCTATATAATAGGAGCGGTCTAGGTCGTTTTCTATTTCTTACCGGGCTTTATATTCGTAAACTTAGTACTATTACTTAGGGATATAAGGCGCTTACGGTGCTTATTAGCGATATCTTCCTGTTTCCAGTTTAAAATATCCCGTATAATACTATTTCTGTTTAGAGTGTCTAGCTAATATAGCCCGATAATACCGTTATCTCTTAGGGTCAGGGCGATAACGTAATGTTTAAGATGCTTATTCTTTACCGCTATCTTTGCTTTTAGTCTATCTATTAGGTCTATATAGTCGAAAATCATAGAAGATAGAAGATTATCGACTTTAGTCTTTAAATACTAGTCCACCTTTCTAGTAGATCCGGCCACCGCGTATAACTAATCTATAAATACTTACCGGATAGTAGCTTTATCCTAACAATTAGTATAGACCGGAAACGTTATAGCCTAGGTACTGGATAATCCGGTAAGCGCGGGGTTATTAAAGTATCTAGTCCCCCTTATAGTTTTGCCTGTTAGGGTCGGAAATAAAGGTATCTATAGGACCACCATAATATTCGAGATCTTAGGTATCGGATACTATACTTATTCACCCTTTACGGTGATTATCTATAACTATATCTGCTTCTGCTACGGTTCCTATTAAGTGATTACTAATATCCTAGTGCCCGCGATAGCGGTTAGGTCAGTCTTTAGCGTCGCTTATGGCTATAGTGTGTTTATTACCGTAATACCCTTAGTCGGTGCGAAATCGTCGTTTCTGTATATTAGTCTAGCGGGATTATTTATAGTATAGCCCTTTATATCTATTCTCCACTTCCTATTCGAGTCTAGCTTCTTTTTCTTTTAGTCTAACGTGTAATATAAAGGATCCTCCTAGTATCTAAACATTCCTGTCTCCGCTAATACCCTATCGTATATATCTAGACTATTCTTTTCCTCCGGTAAGAAGTTACTATGCTTTATACGATTAATAATTACCCTTTATTCGTTATTCCACTCCGTCGTCTTCCGGGCCGTTCCCTTTATCTATATATAATACGCTGCTGCTTAAGCCTCTTAAACTTAGGGACTAGCCTATACCTTTGTAATATCTCGGTCTAGATTTCCTAGCTTTACTAGGTTATCCCCCTTAATTACTATCTAAACTAGGCAGTATATCGCTATAGCCTTTCGTTCCTATACTAAACTACGATGTTCCGCCGATAGGGATAATGATAAGTCGTGATACTACTCGTAGGTTCAGAATTCTTTAGGTAGGTATTTAGCGACGTCTCGATATATTTTAATATACTATTATCCTCTTAAGT